CAAGTGTGCTTCCCAATGTGTTAGCCCCTAGTAATGCCCTTCCTCATTACCACAAAGACAGAGAGGTTTATGTAGATATAGGACTCCAGTTTCTGAAAGGTGCAGATTTGAGTTTCTAGCTCCTGTATTTCATCATCCAAGTGATTTTGGCTTCAGAAAATAGTCTCTTCACCTGCCAAAGAGAAAATTTATAACGGGCTTTGGGGGATGGGATTATAGTGAAGATGAAAAGAATCTATACGCATTTGTTTAAAAAGTTTCCTCCTTTCAGGAAACTGGAGTATTACAAACCATTGCTAATGTTTCTATTACACCAAGGGTGGTGCTGTTCATGTCCATTCTGCCCTATGACTCATGAGCTAGCCCCCCATCCCCCACCAACTACTGCCTCTAACTCCACCACTACCACTGCCATTCACAGCCAGAAGCTACTTATAGCACCTGGGAAAGTGACGGTAGGCACCCCGAATGGGTAGTAATCATTCATAGCCCCCCAGCCCACTTGCCAGCATCACAGCATTTCATGTGATACTGTTGCTAGGCTCCCTCCAGGCAGGGGAGACACAAAAACAAGAGCATTACCCAAGCCAAACTTGAAGAACCGATTAGTTTACTGGGGTTCCTTACAAGAGTCTGAGTGAGAGAATAGATACAGCAGCAGAAAGGACTCCAAGACAGCTGCATCCCCAAAGCCCACCTCTGTATGAGCCACACCTCAGGAAGGCAGGGACCCAGAAGTGCACTGCACAGCTTGCAGCCAGCTGCAGGTCAGTGTCTCCTCCAAGCAGCTGGGCTCTTCTGGGCCTCTTCTAGGCAGCTTAAGTTATCTGAGAGTCTTCACAATTTGGGGATGGAGGGGGTCTGGTGAATCTGGTCATTTTCAAAGACACGATGAGGTGTCACAGTTATTTACTTCAGGGGTTTTAAGGGGCTTTCTTATAGAACGGAAACGATCAACTCAAAGGAAACTGTTATGCGATAAGGAAGTAGGAACATTTCTTTCATTGTACATCTACCCTCCAGCTTTGTAGTTAGAAGACTTCAGGGAGTCTCCTGAACATTCACTCACTGGAAGAAGATTCAGGAAATAATTTTGGCTGACAAATGTTTTCACCTAGAAAGAGAATAGAGCCAAGGTTGGCAAACTATGATACGTCCATTACAGGCACGCAGATGCAGCTTCTCCAAGTAGTTCCTGAATGTTTAATTGCTGAAAATAATTGTTCTGTCTCCTTCCTTGAAGAGGTAATTTTCAGAAAACACTGGACAGGAAATCATGTGAGAAATGAAAAATACTTATCTTCTGTCTCTACCCCTAGAATTTCAATTTGGGTTAAGGATGCACTTGGGACATTTAAAAATTTGTTACGTATAGAGCACTACTCTAACTTCTGTGATGTTTCGTTTCTCTTTGCTGCTTCCAATTTTTATTCAGATGTTTACAAACTGTCCTAACCTTCTTAGTGGTTATGTGTATGCTCTCTGCCAATGCTATGTGAATTTCATGTGTTTTTATATAGCCTTTACAACTTCTGTTTACTTTGCAAATAAAACATACTTTACATATTTATTGAATCCATGGATAAATGACAGGTGTGTAAATGCCTAGTGAGCCTATTAAGGACCTCAAGGATGGCAGCTAGTCCTCCCTGCCCTCCTCCTTGGCATGCTCTGTCAAGAATACCCATGGTGAATCTCTTGATTCTGCTCAGCAGAATAAAATATAAGTAGATGCTGTCCACAGCTTTAGCCTTCTCATCAGTACCTCACCATAAAATGTAACTTGACAGATAAACATTCTTCATTTGAAAAATAGCACCTAGTAAACAGCCTTGCCAGCCAGGGAATTCACATCTTTTTATACACAAATTTAAAATCTAAAAGAACAAGACAGAAAAGAAAACCTTATTTATCTTTCTATGCTGTATGATACATTGTTTCACTTCTAAAGCCGTATTCTACATCTGTAGTGGGTAGTGATAAAAATTATGGGCTTAGGTTTTATATCAACTATGGGATGAGTTTGGAATCTTGACACCGATGTCTCAATTATGTCCCACACATGAATGGCTGGCAGTGCACACCTACATATTTTGAACATAGCTTGTGGGGACAAGACAGTAACACTAATAGTTCTTAAGCCTCCTAATCAAAACTTCAGTTTGCTCTAGCATTTAAAATCTCCAAAAACAAACTCTCCTGCTGTCTTTGACAAATAGTACTAGGAAAGGGTATTCCCCCTTCTCCACCCTGCAGCTTTACCCCTTGGACAATGATTACAAACTGCCTATTCAGCTTGTTTATGGACACAATTCTCCCATTAGTTAAAAACATATTGATTCCATAGACAAAGAAGGCAAGGAAATACAAATGGTGCTCGGAAAAAAAGAAGTGGTAAAATTTCATATAGCTGGAAAAGATCATCTCATCTAACCTCTCCATGTCACCCCACTTAGTCAGAGGTCCAAAAACTAAAATTTCAAGGTCTTCCTTAATACCTTATCTAACCCAGTAAGAATCCTTTCTCAAAATTCAACATTCTATTTGAGATCCTGTAGCAACCTCTTACACATCTTTTCTCCTTCCTTATAAACTAGGAATGATTTCCTTTCTTTCTTTCTTTCTTTCTTTCTTTCTTTCTTTCTTTCTTTCTTTCTTTCTTTCTTTCTTTCTTTCTTTCTCTTTCAGTCCTCCCTCCCTCCCTCTCTTCTCTCATTCTCTTCCTCCCTTGATTTTCAGATTTCCAGCAACTTAACTCCCTTAAAACCTTCCTAGGAAAGTCCTACCCCCCTAGTCTCTCTATTGATACCCTAAGAATTGTGTATGATACTAATAAATGTAATTATTTCTATACCATTTTAAATAAAATATTTGAGCATATTTCTACATTCATGGTTAAGTGATAGACATCCTAAAATGAGCACTGAATTTTGTAAGATGTTTTTGCCAAGAAGAAAGTACACATGCAGTTTGTTCATTACTTCAGATTATATTCGCAATTCCCTGGGTAAGTTTGAGACTTGGTAAAGGTGAGGAAGTCAGCTACCACTGAGTTCATATTCAGTAGAGTCTCATAGATGCAAAAATCATAAGATTTTAAGATAGTAGACCAATTCTGTTTTTATCCTACTCAGCTCTCTGATGATGTTTTACAGAAGAGAGTGAAATAAGAGCCGCCCTTATCTTTGTAAAAAGTAAGGGACAATGCTCCAGCTGGTTTAAGATGTTTCTATGTTGTGTAGTCAGGGAGGGAGGATCGCGTATTCCTGTCATTATATTTAGATTTCTGACCCGGCCAACAAATGAAATACAGAGATTATAATTTTGTGCATGAATTATTGTTTTAAATAAAGTATTGGAGTAGCACATTTTTGAAATCCTTTGTCTTCAATTTTCTGACATACTAAAGTCTCATAAAATGGAAGTCACCTGAGCATTCCCAATCCAGGAGGGAACCCACTCTTTATGGTGGCACTGTACACATTTTAAACTAAGTACATATTCATGATGAAAATGACATTTCCATACTAAGTGAAAGAATTTAGAAGTATCCTATTTACTGTGGAGATTAAACACTCGGTCACTGTAAATGTAATTTAAAATATTTTTAGCATTTCAAGGGAATCAGATCTGTCTTCCTGCTGTTTATGTTTGAATTCACCAGGAATGAACATTTCTGTGAAATTAATCAAATAGGGAATTCAATGTTCCTTGCAGATAATTTTGGCCATATCCCATTAGGAACTTTCTAGTCTGGGTTTGTATCTTTCCTGGGAAAGACCCCTGTGTTCCAGATGGTCGTTCTTTCCCTGTTTAGTTGTGAAGAGTGATGAGCAAAGCCAATACACACAGAATTAATGATAGTGTGGATTTGCCAAGAAACTCTGCTGCAGACTTCATTACTAAAACAAGAAAATAAAAAATATTTGAGAACAGCATTTAACATGGTGTAGATATAAATTAGCATTAAAATATTTTCAGGCACAATATTAATTACTTGATGTACTATTTTTTTTTAGGTGAAAGAAATCTAAATTAGAGAATAAGAATACATTCTAACAAATCCAGAGATGGCAAATTCAATTTTTCCCCAACGAAAATTAGTGCTATTGTTTTTGGCTATGATGAAATTGTCGTGCTCACAGTTTTTCTAGGTTGAAAAAATAACCCAACATCTTTGTATTTCTGTCAGTTTTCATTGTGCTGGAGGCTCTTGTGCTGATTCATGCCATATACATTCTGGTTTCGCCACGAAACTTAAAGAATCCTGTGGTTTTCTCTGAATCCCCATACCTGGGACACTGCTTAACCAAAGTCATGAAAACCTAGCATGTGGACTGAATCATACCTGCAGAGTTTTGTGTTTTCAGCTTGGCCCAGACATTTAAATGCAGAGTTCCAGGTGGCCTAAAGGTAGCAGGAAGCAGTGTTTGGAGTTGTCCTTAGAGCATCAGCTGAGGGTGTCCCAATAGAGAAGTGTATGTATAGGAAGGCCTTGGTATTAATATGCAGGACCCTTATTAGGAATCCAAAACAGAGTTTAAGAATAAAAAATGCAATAAAAATAGCAATGTACTAATTGTTCAAGTTTGAATAAAAAGAATTGTTATTTTTATCAAATTCCACTTCCAGAACTCTCTTGAGATAGTTACGTAATGACAGTTTTAAACACCCTCTCTCAGGTCATATTATGATGTTTGGTATGGCACATGCTGCATGTATTGCATTCTCATTGATATCCATTTTGACATGTGGTGAATAAGATATTTTTGTTTCACCATTTGGCTGCTTTTACTTTTGAGAGGAAAAGAATACAGAAGAAATGCCAAGATGGAAGTGTAGCCTTTCCTGAATCACCACGACTATGAGCAACTTCCTAAATTTGTGATATTTCGCCAAGTAATAAATAAATTCAAGTGCTTGACTCACATTTTACAAAGGATTAGCTATTTGTAATGAAGCTTTGTTTTTGTACACGAGAATCATTTTCTTATCCACAGGATCAAACAGAGATGACAAGTACTCAATTTGATTGTCAATACTGCACGGTATCCCTTCTTGGGAAGAAGTATGTGCTCAAGGATGATCATCTATACTGCGTCTCCTGCTATGATAAGATCTTTTCTAACTATTGTGAGCAGTGCAAAGAACCAATTGAATCAGACTCTAAGGTAGGCATCACTTCAGTTCAGTTACTGCTTGTGGACAGTGGGTGACTGCTTCAGAATGCCCCTTTCCTCTCCACGTTGACTTTTTACTTTCTAACATGTTAACGTATCGAGTCACGATGTGTAGTTCTGTGAAATGCATGTTTTAATCCCACATTATCCTTAAGACAACTTTTTTCTTTCAGTATATGTATGTGTGGTAGTTTTTATGATGAGTAAAAAAATTAAAGGAGTTAAATTATTTCCCCAGAGTTTTACAACTAAATATTGAGTTATGTCTAGAATAGCTAATACGTATAAAAATGCATAAAAGAAGTTGGAGGCATAAAGAATTCAAGGCTTGTGTTTTCCAACTTAACAATCTGCCTTTCTCCCTTAGCCCCCGCGATGGCTCCCTTGCACGTCACACTTCCTCCTGCTCTGGACTTGCTATTTCCTTTCTTTCTTTCCTTTGCTTTATCTAACTGTTGTTATTTGTTTGCTTGAAGTCAAAAGGAATAATAAGATACTCTAACCTAAAAATTAAAATTATTCCATGTAAAACCTTTCTTGTAGGTTATAAAAGGAAGATAAAGAAACTTGACAAATTCCTGTGAGGTTTCTTTTTCAGTGGCCTTTAGTGGCCAATCCAACAAGCCCCAGGCTTTTGCTCTTAATTTATTACCCCAGAGAGTCTTTCTGCAGAAAACAGTATCAACAACTTTCGCTCAAGCTAGTGGTACAACCTACTGGTACTAGGGTCCTAAGAATGTCCCGTCTTGTCTTAGAAAACGTCTTGTTTCATGTCAAGCACATTTAATTAACTTTATTTATTGTCTCAAAGGATCTTTGTTACAAAAACCGTCATTGGCATGAAGGATGCTTCAAGTGCACCAAATGTCATGAGTCTTTGGTGGAAAAGCCTTTTGTTGCCAAGGATGAGCGCCTGATGTGCACAGACTGCTATTCTAATGAGTGTTCCTCCAAGTGCTTCCACTGCAAGAGAACCATCATGCCAGGTGAGACCCAGACAGAGCTGTTGGCTCTGCCCAAGCAAAACCCTTCATTCTTCGGGAAGCACCAGGTCTCACACCACTGGTTTGAGAAAGGCAATGCTTTTGTTTTCTTTCTCTGGTTCCCAATCATCTATTCTTCTTGATCAAAGTAAATTGCAGTGCTCCGTAATTTTGTAATTTTATTACAGTTCTCTGTTTTATTTTCATAAAACCTAATTCATAGAAACATGTTGAGCCAGAGATAGAACTAAAGGATAAAACTTGTACCAGAAGCACAACTGGAATGCCCTGTCTTAGGCCTAACCAATGGCATTGAAAGGGATAATTCTTCATCAGACACTGAAGATGGTCCTCATTTTTTAATCAATTCATTCATTCATTCATTGTGTCTATTTTTTTCCATTGTGGGGATTGTCACTTCTCTCCTCCCACCAAGTGGGATCCAGGGATCAAACTAAGTCAATCAGGCATAGCAGCAAGCCCCTTTACCAGTTTTGCCTTATCACTGGGCCAAAGGCATCATTTCATAGCTCTGTACAAACTGGTTTGAGGGACATTGTTTTCCCTTAGGGAAGAAAATAGTCCATGTAAATAACTTCACTTTAAAAAAATAATAATTTAAGGGGTTGGGGATTTAGCTCAGTGGTAGAGCGCTTGCCTAGCAAGCACAAGGCCCTGGGTTTGGTCCTCAGCTCAGAAAAAAAAAAAAAAAGGAAAAGAAAAAAATAATTTAACTAAAATATACTTACGTCATTTCCTCCCTCCTACCCCTCCTAAGTTTCTCCCTCTCTCAAATTTGCAGTGTCTTCTTCATTAACCTTTGTTGTTACAGACATAAAAGCAAATAAGCATATAAATTCAAGCTATTGAGTCCTTTCAGTGTTTCCTGCAAGTGTGTGTGTTCTAGATATTTAGTATTAGATAACTAATCAGGAGCTCATCCCTAGGAAATACTAATATCCCCTTTCAGCAGCTGTTAGTTGCAGCTCTTCACCTAGGGATAGGACCCCATGAAATTTCCCACATTGTTGGAGTTGTGCAGGTCTGGTTTAGGAAGCCATGCTGTTGAGATTTCATGGGTATAGCTACCTTCTCACACTAAAAGACACAATCTCACGGCAGATTTCCTGTTCCTCTGGCTCATAACAACGCTCTTTTCCATGTTCCCTGCTGTTTGGTCCTTTCCTATCCCTGTGGACAGCAGCATAAGAACATGAGTCAATCAACCCCTCCTCGCAGCACTCTGGTCATTATTACTACTGTCATTATTATTACTATGAAGTCGAATAAATCCAGAAGCCATTCCCACAATATGTATCACAGGAGCAGTGCCCTGGGCATTTATAATTATTCCTCTAATGACAGCTATGACTCAATCTGTCTGAACCATGAACCATTCCAAATCTCTACATGCAGGACTTCCCCGTAGCTTTTGCTGAAATTGCAGGAGTTTTCTGTGCATGATTCACTCTTATCATAGCAGAACTGTAGCAATTTTCCTTTTCTCTAAGGAATAGCTCAGGAATGACAAAATGTTTTTCTAAAAGTTTTTCCCTGTTTATTTATACAGTAATACAGTTTATTACGGTCATACTTAAACTATTTTAAATAATGGAGGTATGTTTTCTTAAAGAAAACACAAGTGTGCCTGACTTGCTCTAACAGTCTTACTTTGGGATCCAGGTTCTCGGAAAATGGAATTTAAGGGCAACTACTGGCATGAAACCTGCTTTGTGTGTGAGCACTGCCGACAGCCAATAGGAACCAAGCCCCTGATCTCAAAAGAGAGTGGCAATTATTGTGTGCCGTGTTTCGAGAAGGAGTTTGCTCAATACTGCAACTTCTGTAAGAAGGTAACTATCTAAAGAGGGTAAAGCTAGGGAACCTTCCAGAACACTGGGATGTTTTTTGTTTTATTTATTTTTTTGTTTTTTGGGGTTTTTTTTGTTTGTTTGTTTGTTTGCTTGGCTGCCTTATATATTTGGAATGAAGTGAACCCATCATGCGATATCTAATGCATGACATAATCTTTAAATTTCAACACATCACAAACTAAAATTCTCAGTGAAGATGTCTTCCTGTTTTAGTAGCAATAAAATTCCACCTTAGATCATGGATTTAATATTCAGTAGCACAGGTGATTTGACCTCCCAGTTGCATTCACTGCCTTACAGAAACTTTGCTATGGGACAGGCACATTGCTCTTTGCTTCCTAGAAGACAATTTTGATTCACTTACTATTAACTATTTCAGGGAAATAGGGATTTGCCTCTGAGAGCGGCGGGGGGGGCGGGGGGGAAATACTAGGAAAGCTGCCTATTATTTTCTAGTAACTAAAATCTCTTCTTGTCTTGAGGCTTTGTGTTATCAAGGAGATTGGTAGGTTTAAGTAAGTGACAGATTGGGAGAGAAATCCAGTTGGCATGAAGACACACAAAGCCAAGAGTTGTGATTTCCTTCATTTCCTGCTCCAGCACAAATGCAAGCACCCTCTGACCCGTTCCAATTCAAAGCATACTTTCCTGAAGGGAAAGTCATTTTTTTAGAAATAAACATGGCCTGACATTTCACCCTCTCTGCTTTTATGTGAAAAGCAAGCCCATCATCTTGATGAAGGCTGTCTGTATTCATAAAATATATACTGATGTTCTCAAAGAAATCCTTGACACAAGAAGCATCATGAGTTTAAAATGGCACTGTGAATTGTAGGAGAATGTTGAATCATGACAATGGATTGGTGTTGGCTCCTGAATAGTGTGATCCATTATCTGTCATGACAGCTCCCCAAAACACTGTGTATTTGCATTTGGACTGCTGGAAAGCTCATCACACTTTCTCCAGGTGCATACGCAAGCATGTAGGTATGCACACATGGTACAGTAATTTTCTGCTTCTATTGGCAATACCAGTGTTGCCTATACAATAAAGCAACAAATACACCTTTCAGAGTTATAATTGCTATATTGCACCATAATGGTAGCTGATAGCTACAGTGGATAGTCTCAAGACGGAAAATCATCTACTACCTGAAAGTCTATTATTTTTCCAGAAATACTGGCTTCGAAAATGATGATATGAGCAACAATCAAACCCTGTGCCATGACCACATGACCTAAGAAGCCTCATGGCTTCCAGAGTCAATGGCATTTATAGCACATGCTGGACACAAAATGAGTAGGCTTATCTTGTTCTGAGAGGCTTCAATCTTAGGTCTCAGCTTAGGCTAAGCCATTAATGAAACTTGTGGGATATGTCATGTAATTTACTGGTCACAATGGAGTCTTCCTTTCAATGTTGTTATAAAGACTTAAGATGCCTGGGACAAAGTGCTGGGTTTTCCAGGCTATGGGAGACTGTGGCTATATGGAGGGCAGGATCTGAAGTCATTAGAAGCTTATGAAGTGCTCTGATTGGATTGTAGAGATGATGACTCAGATTATTTTCCATTTAATCATTAAACCACGTACTCTTTAAGAAAAGCTGGATATAGATAATTGTGATCAAAGCTAAAGAAAGAGATTCTGTTTGATTCAAACCAGAAACAAAACTTGGCTTAAATAAAGCCAAACTTCTCGACAACCAGGCCTGTAAGTTTTCCCTCACCAATTTCATTTGTTACACTAGAATTTTCTACTAAGCAACTGGTGGCTCAAACTGTAAGTGCTTCGAATTCAAATTCTTCAGGGTGAAAATGGAATTAAATTTGTCCTTCAGTTCTTTAACTGCTCTCTACTTGGTTCAAAATCCTTACTGTGAGTTGGCAAGATGATACTGTGGAGGATATACTGTGTAAGCATAGGAAGAAGAGTTCAGATCCCCAGCACCAACATAAAGGCTGGGCCAGGCAGCATGAATCTACAACCAGCACCAGTCCAGATGAAATGGAGAACTCCACATTCAGTGAAAGACCCGTTCTCAGAAACTAAGATGGACAGTCATAGACAAGGACATTTAATGTCAGCCTCTAGCCTCTACACAAATACACATGCACATTCACACACATGCACACAGACAGACAGACATATGCACACACAGAAACAGACATATGCACACACAGAGACACACAAAGACACACTCATACACATGTATATAAACACAGACACATGCACACACATGCATGCACAGACATACACATACATGTGCACACACACATACTGTTAATGTCTACACTTTGCCAGAGAAGAAACTTATTCTTAGTCAATGATCAACCCAGACTTAGATAGTAGACTTCATTTTTGCTCTCTACTTCTTCAAAAGGAATATAATCATGGGCAAACTTTTTTTTTCAAATATTCCAGAGCTCTAGGACATATTATTTTGCTAGGAATCCATTTTTCAAGTTTCAGATCTTTTAAGCACTGCCTACAAATCATTTGACCAAACAAATCAAAGGAAGCATGATTTCGCCAGTGCCTGCTGTCAGGCATTTGAAGTCAGTGGGAGGCATTTTAAATTGCTTTACTTCTCACATACCACTGCACTCCTCATTTACTTATTCAGAACAGTATAGTATGCTTTTTCCTTCTAGAAAAAAAAAAAGATCCCTGACAAATATCTTTAGTTTCTGAGAAACTTGACATACAGTTAAAGTGTGTTTAGAATATTTTTCAAAAATATGTATGATAGACAAACAATATGTCTGTGTGTGTTGGCAAACAAAGACAGCTTAAAGTAGGCTTGCATTTTTAACATCTAGAAAGATTGATACAGATCTGCAGCAGCCATCTTCAACATCACATTTCCTTGGTCTTTGAAAAAGATAGACATGAATGTATTCAGTTTCCTCAGCAGCTCTATAAGGTCAGCATCTATGGATTTGAAAGAACAGATGACCATAAAGTAGCTACACAGGAAGTCTTAACCAGTATCTATCAACCTGATTCTCAAAAAGTGTGTTTCCACCTTTTAAAGAACATGAGAATTAAATTGGTTTTAAAAAGAATGTATTATGGGCTATCCAAGCAGTTAAATATCTTCCTGGAATGCACAGGGTCCTGAATTCAATCCCCCACAACTATGCAAGCATTGTAAAGGACTAATAAGTATCTGAGGCTCAACATGCATTACAAATTCATGACTTCGTGCCCAGCTCTTATGTTCATAGCAGTAATCTGAACTCTGTACATCATTTAAGACCTGAAGTTGAAAACTCACGCAGTAGCTGTAATCAAGTTTCTTGTTCAAAGTACAGTAGTAGCATGGATTTTCAACACAGCTGAGCACACAGATGGTAGAGTATGTGCAAGTTTAGTGCCGTCTCTCGGAGGATGTAGCAAGTAACGCTGTCATCCACCACTCAAGGACTGTTCATCTACAGAAGGACCAAGCCTATGCCATGTAGAGGTGTTGAGAATATCCAGAAAGGGTCCTCCCTAACCCAGGACTGAGGGTGGGGGGTAACAATTAAGTCATTGCTCACATTGATGGCGCTCATCAGCTCCACCCAGGATCTCCACAACTGAGATTTCTCAGTCATGCTGGGAGCTTTCAAGAAAAAGCACTCTGGCTTCTGTTTTGTTTTATCACGTTTTCCAGCATTCTTCAAGGTCAGATATTGATATAAATGTGTGGGGTAGAGCTATGTGAGTCCTAACTAAAGATCTTTGGAGATAAAAATAAAAGACTTACAAACAGATGAAGTATGTCAAGCACCTGCTTCCTTTATGATCTTCCCGGGTCCAAGGGCATTCTGCCTCTTTTCTGATACAGTCTTAAGGAAAATTGGACTTGTTTTCATTTTTGAGGTTCTGTATAATCCCTCTAACATTTGGCTTCTCATATTGTTTTCTAAAAAACTTACAGAGGTTTTCCAAGGAAGTGAGCATCCTACTGCAAGATGGTACAGAGCTCAGAGCACCAAATGTGCGCACGGAGAAGCATCATGAGATTGTCTGAATTGCAAGGGTACCCACACTCATTGCCTTCTGCTAATGCTTTGGCAGGTGATAACTTCTGGTGGGATAACCTTCCGTGACCAGTTATGGCACAAAGAATGCTTTCTGTGCAGCGGCTGCAGGAAAGAGCTTTGTGAGGAGGCGTTTATGTCCCGGGATGATTTCCCATTCTGCTTGGATTGCTACAACCATCTTTATGCCAAAAAGTGTGCAGCCTGCACCAAACCCATCACTGGTAAGTGCTTCAGCTTACCATGGTTCTACCATGATGCAATTAAAACTATGGAAAATGCTACTTAGGAAATGTAAATAAAAACATAATTTTTTCTACTACATTTCCTTTTGAGATAAACACAAGTAGATACTACTCACTTATAAATTTAAATTTTATATGGACCCCCTCAAGGGAATGACAGGATATAGTTTGGGGATTTGTACACTGTAAAAAGTAAATACTAAACCTAATGGTATGGTTTCTAAGGATAGTTGTAGTCCGAGGAAGGAAAACAGGTAAGCCAGACGGTCAGAGAAGGCCTTAGTGAGGAGGCTCCATTTGAGACTCAGGAATTGAGAGGGCAGAGGGATAGTACTGAATTAGAATCCTACTGAATTCCAACAAAAGCCAAACATTTAAAATACAAAAGCTTTTAATTAAACTATTCTATAAATTAGCCAAAGCTGTAATTAGAGTAACATAGAACAGGAATTAATTTAATTTCTTCTTAAGATGCTTTAAACAAATGTATTATTCCTTCCTCTGTACTCACTTGCAACAACTTGATTATGAATGAAAACAATACAGTATTGTACTAAAGCAATAAAGTATAGGAGACACCGTTTGAAAAATAACATAGACGACAAATCGATCCATGCTAAGTAGCTTCTCACAGGGTTGGAGGAGTGCATTGTGTTTTTCTCAGAACCATCTCTAAAATGTTAATCCTGTGGTAAAGAGGCAGAACCAGCATGAGACGTGAGAAACCCAGAAGCTATTCTTCCAGACAATTTATTGTCATTAATAATGTGACAGAACAGTATTTCCACTTTCTGTTTTCAGTATTCTTATGTCATGTTGCATTTTTTAGCTCACATTGGATAGCACCAAATTAAAGATTATTCCTTTTCCTTCTCTGACCTCAAATATCTCTCTGTCTCTGTCTCTGTCTTTCTCTCTCTCTCTCTCGTGCGCTCACACACGCACATGTGTGTGTGTGTGTGTGTGTGTGTGTGTGTGTGTGTGTGTGTGTGTGTTTGTGTTTTGAAACTACATGCATTTTCAAATGAAGGAAAGTATTTCCTCTGCTAAGCTAAACTTGAAGGCTTTCCACCTAGTTGCAAAGAGAGGACATGGTCTCCTAGTAAAGCACTTGTTTGTCCATACATGTTTTCCACCAGATTCTCACTGGTCTATGGATTGTGTTTGGCTAGCAGACAGGTTTTACTTGGCCAATGTTTAATTCACAAGGTTAGGGAGGGGACTAATATAAAAGCCATTGTTGCAACAAAAAGCAAATTGAGAGCTTACCTGGCTGCATTCACATTCCCAGTTCACTCTCCTTAGCAGCAGGATGGCTGCGCTATTACAGGGGGCAGGTCTTCTCACTTCTCACTTCTCACACTGTTCCTCTGTCATTCAGCTATGTCACCTCCTTGGCACTTACAATGTTTCGTGTTAACAATCCCAGACTACTGGGCTTCTCACCATGTGTTCCTAACCACTCTGCTTTCCTGTCTTCTATTCATCTGGCAGCTCCTGCCAAGGGAGGCAGCTACCAGCTCCATCACTTTTAGTTAGAACATGGGACTTCCTGATGTTTGAAATCACCAGGATTCCAGAATCTGCTCCCTCCCATCACAGTCTGCTCTAATTTCACTTGAACTGGGCTAGAAAAAGCGACTCTCTCATGAGGAAATTAAGAGGTTAAAAAATTCAAAGTATTTTTACAGCTCTTTGAGAATTCCAACAGCTAATGGGGATCTTACAGAGCCTACACAAGCCCTGAACTTGATGGGGTTCAATTCTGATCCATCACAGACCCATGCACCTAAATGCTGTTTCTGGTAAATGTTCCATCAGCCAATTGTACTAAGCTTCATTCAGTATAGACAGAAACCAACAGTTTTGCACAAAAACATAAGGCAGAAGAGCAGACCCCAAGTTAATCTAAATGTGACAGTATTTAAGTGAATAGAGTCAATCTAAAGGACTTTCTAAGTATCGTCTTAAGACTGAAATGCCTGCAAAAACAGCCAGCTCATTCTAACATTTCTTAAATATATGTAAAGCCCTAAAGTAAGGCTTCTTTAAAATGAGCTCTCTGGATTAACACACAACAGGGATCCTGGAAATGCTGTGTTTGTTCTCAGAAGTTGTGAATTCGTGCAAACACTTAGCCATCTTGGGAGCTATGCATTCTCACAGATAAGTTCAAGTTCAGGAAACTTACTGTACATTGTGGTGACTACAGTGAATGATAATGCATTATATAATTGAAAAATCTATAAAAGACTGAATTTTAAAAGATGTATTTGAAGTAGTTCATGTTAATTAGATTGATTTAGACATTCCATACTGTTTGCATGTATGATGACATCACGTTACATACTGCAAATATGTACAATTAAAAATCAATATTAATTTAAAGAAAAGCTATTTCTGTTAGGATGCTTTTAGTATAGTATCCTATGTTAACTAAATCTACCTACAAGTGGGTGTACGTAATTTACTGATACTATTTCATTGAATTGACTTTATTTTAACTAATTACAGATATAACTATGATTTTCTTTTTTCAGTTTTATTTTCACTTAAAATATAATTACATCACTTCTTCCCTTCACTTTCCTCCCTTCATCCCTTCCCATTTCCTCTTCCCAAACTCCTCCCGTTTTCCTCCTCACTCTCAATTTGATAGTCCCTTTTCCTTTGATTATTGTTGCACTACACACACACACACACACACACACACACACACACACACACACGCACGCGTGCGCAAACATATAATAAGTACAGCCTACAGAGTCTGTTTTTGTTGTTTATGTGCATGTTTTCAGAGATGACTACTTTAGATAACCAGTTAGGGTGGGAATCCCTGGGAGAGGCTAGTGCCCCCTTTCTCAGCAGTCATTAGTTACCTGTGGTTCTTTTTCTAGGCGTTAGAACCAGTGAGAAATTTCTCCCCTCTACATCTATTGATAGTGTCATTATGCAGGTCTTGTTAATGCAGCCACTTCTAGGAGACACACCCTTTTCAAAGACATCCCCTGAGATTTAAGTGCAGGAGTTATGTTGTGCATCCAACTGTTGAGGCTGGGCTCCACGCCTCCCGTTGATCTCTACATTTTGTCCAGTTGTGGCTTTCTGTATTGGCCTCCATTTGCTATAAAGAGAAGCTTCTTTGATGGGAGATGGGAGCCGCACTTATTTGTGAGCATAAGGATAAAATTTAGAATGTGTAACTACAATTATCTCTCCTCTTTTAAGATTTCAATACCTCTTGAACTACCTGAGCTAGATGAAGCAGCTTGATGTAGTGAAAGTGCTTTGAACTTGGTGTTAACAGACCTTGGTCCTGCCTGTGTTGCTAGCCACTGTGTGACTATGGGTAAACGACACCCCCTGGAGGCCCGCACTTGCCATATCTACAAAATAAGTGGAAAAGGACCATACATGGGCTTCACTTCATTTCTTTTTATTTAGAGAAAATGGAGTTTCAAGCGCTAAAGTTTTTTTTTCTTTTTGAGACAAGGTCTCAGTATGTAGTCCTGGCTAGCCTGGAACTCAATATGTAGACTAGGCTGGCCTCAAACTCACATAGACTTGCCTGTTTCTGCACCCTCCTGAGATTAAAGATGTGCACTACCACATCCAGCAGCAGATCAGTTTCCTAAAGGACTTTGTTACTTCAAATGACCCCAGTGACCTAAAAGAAGTAAACACAACCAAATTTGGAACAATTTGCAAAACCTCAAGGGTTGGGTCAGACCTTCTAACCTACTGTTAGATGCCTCTGTTTTTCTTCTTTGCAAAATTCTACAGTTACTTTTACATTTGCCACTTGTATGTGTCTTGCTAATAAAACTGAGAATAACTCATAAGTGTCAAAGTCCTACACATTCAATAGTTAGTTTTATTGATAGAGATTATCTGTACATATAGAACCTTATTCTTACAGTTATCTTATTAAAACTTAAAAAAAATTAATTGGTATATGTCTAAGTTAAGGTTTCTATTTCTGTAACAAAACACCATGACCAAAAAGCAAGTTAGGGAGAAAAGGGTTTATTAGGCTTATGCTTCCATATCACTGTTCATCACTGAAGGAAGTCAGAACAGGAACTCAAACAGGGAAGGAACCTGGAGGCAGGAGCTGATGCAGAAGCCATGGATGGGTGCTGCTTACTGGTTTGCTCCTCATGGCTTGCTCAGCCTGCTTTCTTACAGAACTCAGGACCACCTGACCAGGCATGGCTCCACCCATAATGGGCTAGACCCTCATTCACAAGTCACTAATTAAGAAAATGCCATACAGGCTTGCCTAGAGCTTGTTTTTATGGAGGTATTTTATCAATTGAGGCTCCTTCCTCCCTGAAGACTCTAGCTTGTGTCAAGTTAACATAAAACTAGACAATAACTAGTTTACTCTCATTATAAGATAATGATGACACTATCACAGATACATAAACTACAGGTTTAACAAAGAAAAGGAAGTAGGATCATAGTTTGTTTATGAGCTAAACTCTGAATAAAGACAGAGCGATGGCTCAGTGGTTAAGACGCTGCTTGCTGCTCAGTCATGAGCACCAGAGTTCAGATCCCAGCATCCATATTGCATAACTCATACCCACCTGTAAATTCTGCTCCCGTGGTTCTGACACCCTTGTCTGGCATACTCAGGCACGTACACACATGTGCACAAACACATAGATGCATATATAAGCATTTTAAGATGAAAAATGTAAAATGAAAGTCACTTCTCATTTTTAGAGAACTTATCTGCAGTAGATTCACAGTCACACTTTGGGATTCTTTATCTCACAGGAGAATTGGGCAATGCATGTGAGTCAGCACAGGAAATACATTCATCATTCCATGGGCGACAAGCGAGTCACCAGTAACCCATAACATAAACGTTACTTGGGGACAGGTTGTCAAACGAAATGAGTAGAGCCAACCTGTCACATTCTAATACTTCCTAACTTCTGGGACTTTTCTTTTTCCTACAACTACTCGACACAATTTTGTTGAGCTGCATCTTGAAATTATATTAGACAGACAGGGGTCAGCATTTTGGTGAGTACTTTAAAAGAATAATTTAGCCAAGTAAAGCTAAAGGTAAAGTTATGGGGGCTAAAGGCCTTCTTGGTATTTACCTCTGAATAAGGTGACCAGATATCTAGAGTGAAGAGATTCCTCCATTTACATCAGAACTCTGAGCTGAAGCTGCTGTACAGCCAGGTACTAAAAATTGTTACTGCAGAATAGCTCTATGGTGATCTGGAAGAAATTCTCGACATGAGCCTTTGGAGAACTGTGCCTCCAACCTCCCCAAATAGGATTTACTCCAAGTAAAGTGAAGCATGAGAAAATGAGGAAGAAAGGAAAATTGAAGTCACTAGAACATCAAGCCCCAGGCTCAGAAGTACACATTCCTTTCATTATGTTTTCGGTTTGAAAACCTGCTCACATGGAGAGCAGGGCAAACTGCTTTCATGTTTGGATACCGTGGGCTTCCGCCTCCCCTTTACACTGCAGTTTCTTAACTACCTGGCACAGTTTTCATCTGCCTCCTCCTCCCCAAAACAATTTAAAAAGCAATGCATATCTAGCTTCACTTTACTCCCTTAGATTACAGCAGACTTGAGCTAGGAATCTTATGTGGCTAAAATTCTCAGCTGGACATGAGGCCAGCAGGTCACACCCTTCCGGGTTACTTGTGTCTACATTGTCTCGCTCACGACTCTGTTCGGTAGTTGTAGAGTTTTTGCTGACTTCTCAATCTGTTCATGGAAAAGAATAGATTACTCTTTTCCTCCGATTCCTTTCCAGGTCTCAGAGGTGCGAAGTTCATCTGCTTTCAAGACCGCCAGTGGCACAGTGAATGCTTCAACTGTGGGAAGTGCTCCGTCTCCCTGGTGGGTGAAGGATTCTTGACTCAGAACACGGAAATCTTCTGCCGCAAGTGTGGCTCCGGGACAGACACTGACATGTAGAAAGAGACAGCCTTTTCCCACCTGAAACCCGCTTTGCCTTTGCTCTCACTAAATTGGGAACTCAGTGGCAATAATGTTTTTTATTTGTATTTTAGAAAGCAGTTTAGGGGTGGGGGTACATAGCAGGAAAAGTTGAGTATACTTTATAACTGAACTCTATAATAAGAAACACACAAAACCACAGCCTAATAGAAATGAATTACTAAGCCTGAGTGCTCTATCTCCTTGCAAAATACTGCACTCTGCTGTTGGAAACATGGGATAATACTTCTTTATTATTGAGTATATGGCCTGTATTTAGTGATTGTGAATGTTAGTACTGAAGGGAGTTTTTCAAAACTGCAGAAGGAAAACAAGATCCAACTGAGAAGTATACAAGAAACAAATGTTTGCATTTTAAGCTAGCTGGTTATATATAACATGATAGAAAGAATATTAATAGTGGAAGAGCAAGATTTATGAAAAAAATCAATCAGTAATCATCACACTTAACAACCTTATCATTTTAGAAGCATTCTTTGTTCACAAGTACTGAATAAGAGTTGAAAAACAAAGCTGTGGATTTTCTTCATACACAGGGCTTCCATCATCAGCTGCCTCCTAGTCAATGGAATTGGATAGCTATGGTACCCTTATACTTAAGTACAAAGGGCACCATCCCTGCCTGGGGAGAGCAAAGCCTGAATTTCGATTAGATTTAGATTACAGATTCAAATACATTTTAGATTAATTGTATTTCCAAAGCCCACAATGGTTTCTGTAAATGCTTGCAGATTTCATCTATTCTTTTAAGTGAATCTAACCAGAATAATTGTTGTCCCCAAAGGCAAGCCTTTAAAGAAAATAAATCATTAAATTTTCATCCATGGTAATAAATGTTATGGAAGCAGTTCAGTGTTAGAACATGAGTTTCATCCAGATATCTAAGGCATAATAGAATGCATAATTATTCCTAAGCCTCACACATTTTGCCTTTGAAAATTACACAGATAACTAATGCTCAAACATAAAAGTGCACTTTAAAGAAACCTAGTGAAAGTAATAACTTAAAAATAATACTTCACTCTTGATAATTCATGATCATAAGACAAACAAAATACCACAAAATGGGACTCAAAGAAGCCCTCCTCAGTTCTTCTATTACTGAACCACCCCCTGTCCTGAAGCCAGCCAACTCCAGGACTCCAATCTGCTCTGTGACCAGGAGTTCCACACCCTAAGTAGCCAATCCAGAAATCAACATGTATTCTGTCACAGAGGAAGCTTTAGTGGGAATTCGGCCACCGTACAAACAACCTTCACATCCATCACCAATTGATTGTGGCCCTCCCTAGTGTAGGACGAATGGAAAGCAGTCTGTGACCTCAGTGCTTGGTCATGAGGTCATGGTTACAGAAGTTCATCTGTAGAGAGAAAGGTCAGGAGAACTCTCCTGGATGTAATCCTACTCTCCTGGATGTAGTAATATGCTGACTTTCAGACTAGTGCAGATGCTTGAAATGTGAACTAAATAGAATAAAAGGCTGCACCAGATGACAGTAGTTAAAAATGCATCATCGGAGATTCAATTACAATTGCTATCAAAACAATTTTTTTTTTCAAGACAGGGTTTCTCTGTGTAGCTTTGCACCTTTCCTGGAACTCGCTTTGGAGACCAGGCTAACCTCGAACTCACAGAGATCTGCCTGAACTGCCTCCCGAGTGCTGGGATTAAAGGTGTGCACTACCACCGCCCGGCTCAAAACAATTTAAGTAGTGTAAAATGCAAGAGATGTTAGAGATATTAATAATTTTGAGAAACTAATAAGTTAGACTATATACACATTTTGAAAATCACAATTTTGCTTTTGAATTAACAATGATCAAGATATTTTCTCATATTAGCATTGTGGTGTGCAGGCCAATTAGTACTTGCTTGCACTAAATGAAATTGCACAGGTAAAATTAAACATGCTGGTTATTCTGTGACCTAGAAAATAATTCATTCACAACTATAAAAATCTAAATTCTTCATAATTTATATAGATATACAAGATGTGCCATTATCTCTGTTAATGAATTACAGATAAACATGTGGCACATATTTCCTAGTTAAACAATTAAAAAGATCAGGTGTTTGTTATGGTATGTGGGGATGAATAGGGTAAGGATTGAATTTAATTTTTTTAATGCTACTAGAGATCAAACCCAGGACCCTACACACACTGTCTAAGGACTCTACCACTGGGATGTATTCTTAGCCCTTTGAATTTAATCTTAACAATTAAATGCATGAAATCACTTGCTAGATAAACATTTTATTATCCTTTCTTAAGTACAGTTTATAAATACATAGAAACTATTGTCTATTTTTGTATTGCTTAGTCACCAAATATACAATTAATGTGTGCTGCCCAGAATTTAAGGTCATGCTTCTGGGACTTTGACATGAGGGGAGGGCAGATCTGGATTCAAAAATGTGGAGGTCTCACTGCAAAGACCCTTCCCTGGTGTTTAAGGAGAGTGCCACTGTAGATACAGCATTCATATGCAAAACAACTAGGAAAGACTTCTTCCCAATAACACACAAAGACAACTGTGGAAAGCATGGATGATTTATCTGATTTATAGATGGAAAAATTCTCTTAACTGGCTTATTAAAAAATGGAATGGGCTGCCTCAGTAAGCATTGGACATTCATGATTCAGGGTGACATCTGCATGGGCAGGGAAGTAGTTATAAGCAAGTCTTTCACCAGATGGCTTGGAAGCTGCAGAGATGCTGTGCTATTGAGCAAGGAGAAATGGTATTGCTACAAGCAAAAGTCAAAGGAAGGGGAAAAATTAACTGTCAGGACAAAAGGTACAGGTGTATATAATAGGCCATGGAAGTTGCCAGTGTTCTTAGCTAGGACAGACAGAAAAAGGCTGCAACAGTGTTCAAGAACAGTTATACCAACATGTATACTGTGTAGAGTAGGACCAGAATGGACGGGAGTGATTGGTCCCAATGATTGGTGATTCCCAATGCTCCTCACATGCATGTGTGGTTGGTGGCTGCAGACATGAGAGAACAAGCAGAAGTTCAACCCTGGAGCTGTGTTTGCTGATGTGACTGAGTGTACACATCAACAAATCAAGATGCTTGACATGGTTATATTTGGAGTTGAAGTTGATAAAATGGGATTTTTTTTTCCATCAAGAAAAATGGGTAGGATGCCCAAGGGCTCAAGTTTTAATTAACAAAACCATTAAAAAATTTGACTGAGACAAATTAGCACCAGTGGATAACTGAGATACAATCCTATCACATAGTTCACAACTCAGTCATTATGACTTTAGGAACACCGCATTGTACATTGCAGTAAAAGAGGTCAGTCATGATGAAAAATGTGTGCCTCTGAGCATAAGTGACCTTCATTAAAAACCACTGCAGAATACCAACATGAAAAATCAGCCTTTTCACATTTTTGATGTTGGTAATATCACTTTTTAATGTAAGTGTAAAAGTATTTTTTAAAGTACTTGACATGCTGACATAGTTCATGTGTTAAATTTAAAAATGAATTTTACACTATGAGATGGTCATATTTAACTGAGCAAATAAATTATTCTTTAATGCTTTAATGGATATTTTATACCTGAAGCTGCCACAATACAGCTTTTTGTTTTATAAATGGTGGTTTTTAGAAGTTTCTTATATTGAACAAATGTACACTACACATAGTAGATATTCTTGAAATGGATTTTGGATTTTTTTTTTACATTAACTGTGCTGTGAACACAACAGATATAGAACTTCTTTAGAATTTCTACTTTTATTTCATGCTTCTTGTCTTATTATTTTTATAATATACAAATGAACTATATTTGGTTATCATCTCTAGGCACAAATAGAAAAATACCTTAAGTACTGATCCAGATGGAATGTCTCTCCTGCTAACTGAACTGTGCTGCCCGACTCTTTTCTACAGTGTCATATTTAGAAGACTACTAAATTAAAATGATTTTTTATTTCTAATTCCTCAGAAGCCAGGAGACGAGCTCACTTTAGATTTTCCTGCCATAGCTCAGACTCTTTTGCTAGGGTTTTTCTAAGTCAGAGGGATTGTTAAAACTCTTGATAGTTTTAAGCACTTATCTATTTTATTGAAATCAAAGCTTTTGTAACACAAAACTTTTCCAAATCCACACTGTTTTACCCTATAATTACTTTAGAAAATAAATTTGTTTAACATTTGAACCAATAAATATTTGGAAAAATACCTCTAAGTAGGTACTCCTAGTTTTTCTTTAAATTAATGATTTTGAAAAGTCATGTTGTTTGTGACCCCTGAGGGGACAGGGAGAAAGTGGGACTGGAATGCATTATGTGAAATCCACAAAGAACCAATAAAAGTAAAAAGAGAAAAGAAAGAAAGAAAGGAAGGAAGGAAGAAGAAAGAAAGAAGAAAAGAAGAAAGAAAAGAAAAAGTGTTATTTATATGGAAATATGAAAGTTAAAACTTAAGCCTTGTGTCTCCAAGTGTTGTTCTTCAATTAGATTCATTCTATCATTGGATATTATGGGAGCTAGCAACATTGCCTTCATCCTGAACTTTCCGTCCAAGGAACATTGAACCTTTAGATTTCATTAAAGTACCAGGAACATGTCATATAACATCACCATCAAGAAATGCCTGGGGCCTGAAGAGATGGCTCAGCCGTTAGAAGCACATACTCCTCTTGGAGAGGGCCAGAGTTGGATGCCTCACACCAAAGTTCAGTTGCTCAGCAGCACCTGTAACTCCAGCTCCAGGGGGATCCAGTGCCTCTAAGCTCTTCAAGCACCTGCACTCCCGTGAGGAGACACACACACACACACACACACATTTAAAAATAAATCTTTTTAAAAAGTAAAATAAGTAAGTAAGCAAGTAAATAAATAAATAAATAAATAAATAGATGAACTGAGTATAGTGGGAGTTCCTGGAATCTGTACTCCTCAGAGCCTGAGGAGAAAGGTTTGGAATTGAATACTGGAGCCCAGAGCATTGAGGCCTGGCTGAGAACACAGCAAGACCCAGTTCAAATGACGAAAGCACTGTCTCAAAACTCTGGGTTCTTCCCTGATCCCTATAAGACTTAAGAAAGTATGCCACATGGGCAGATGTAAACTCAGAGCTCAGAAATTACAAAATCTGAAATTTATATAAATTATATATTACCAATGCAACTGAAAGATGCCATGGAAGAAGATAGTAAGAATCTTCATTTAAACCATACAAATTTCTTCTCAGTTGAAAGAACTGTAAAAACTCACAATGTGTTAATATCTTATTTATTATATTAAAAACAAAGTTACATAGATAATACAAAAATGCAGGAGATGTCTTCCTGTATGCTGTAAATGTGTGTTGCTCTGATTTGGTTGATAAATAAAATGCTGATTGGCCAGTAGCCAGGCAGGAAGTACAGGCAGGACAAAGAGAGAGGAAAATTCTGGGAACAGGAAGACTGAGTGAGGAGACACTGCCAGCCACCACCATGAGAAGCAAGATATGAAGGCAGAACTGGGAAGAAGTACCAAACCATGTGGTTAAACATAAATAAGAATTATGGGTAGGCACCATGTCAGGCTGCAAAGGTGGCAAAAAGAAACCCCTAAAACAGTTCAAGAAGCAGGCCAAGAAGATGGATGCGGAAGATAAGGCTTTCGAGCAGAAACAAAAAGAGGAGAAGAAACCGAGGAGCTAAAAGCCAAGGCCACAGGCAAGGGATCCCTGGCCACAGGTGGAATTAAGAAATCTGGCAAAAAGTAAGCTGTTCCTCATATCTGAGATGATGGTGACCCTCTTCCATTCCTATTTAAACATCTGGATTCCCTGCCATAACATCTTTGCCACTTACAGCTAGAATCAAGTGGTACCCTGGAGCCTGTTAAACATCTGCATTCCCTACTATAACAACACTGCCAACTATAGTTGAGTAAAGTGTTATCCTGGAGCCTGTTAGCCTGTTGTACATTGTAGTAAACTTTTGTAAATAATAATAATAATAATAATAATAATAATAATAATAATAATAATACAATGGCTCATTGTCTCTAGTGTTCAGCAATTCCTACCTCAGCTGTGAATTTAAAGTAAACCCAGTCCAAAATCTTACTGGAGGTGTTTCATCTTTGTTGTACTCTGAATTCTGTATCACTTTGAATTAATTAAACCAACTCATTAAAAGGCAAAAAAAAAGAATTATGGGTTAATTTAAGTGTAAGAACTAGTCAGTAATAAGCTTGAGCTAATGGCCATACAGTTTGTAAATAACATAAGCCTCTGTGTGTTTACTTGGGTCTGAGTCGCTGCAAGACTGACGGGTGAGAGAGATTTATCCTGACCACTGGCAGGCTGGGACACAGGAAAACTCAGCTACACAAAAATTTATAAAAGTTTCTCTAATCCATACTTTTAAGAGAACATAGAAATAAACACCCCCACTCGTATCCATGTGTCTTCTTAAATGACCCCAAAATGCATCCAGAAATGGAAAAAAAAAATCTTTATTAGAACAATTATAGCTTTTGCTGATTGACTAGCCTTAAGGTCAAGTATAATCCAGAATAAAGGAGGTAGAGGGGTTATTTCTAAAATTGAAAATCATTAAGGGAAATAACAAACAAACAAACAACAACAACAAAAAAACAAGCACAAAGGGATCAGGCTCCAAGTTTAAGCATATTAAAGAAAAGCCATTCTGTGAGTATCTGTAGTAACAAGACTGGATACCTCTGTGGATGGGAAAGTAAGCAGCACAATTTGATAGAATTATAGCCCACATGAGAGGAAATGAATACTTAGGTAAAGTATTTTCTCAGCAACGGACATGAACTTATGGGGTAGATCTCTATAAAAGTTGTTTGACTGAGTAACATTAATGAGCTCAACAGACATCCATCCAGCAACACAGTGACATTAAATGCTAGTCTGCCTCATTCAGAAAGGAAAATCTGAGTTGGTGTGTGTGGAAGGGTGCATATGGAATGCAGCAGTGTTCTCTTTAATCCCGAGTTGTGCCTGCAATGTCATTGACAAGACTTTTCCTGGCAGCTCCACCCCAAGGTCTTGGACACAGGGTGAGTGAAGGAGTATGGACACAGGGTGAGTAGAAGGAAATGGAGTGTGGTGATTAAAAAAAGTGGCATTCCTAAAAATATAGGTTAAACTTGAACTTCAAAGAATACTGTTTTCTTTATATAATACAGTAAAAATCCACCATAATTACATGAAATTCAAAGGAACAAAAATATGTAAACAGAAAGTTAATGAAGTTTTATGATTGATACCTTCCCTTTCCATGGAAATCTGTCAGATGGCACCAGCAGACACATTGATCTCGTTCTATACTCCTGTGAGGTGTTTGTCATTGTTGACCTTTCTTTAGTCCTTCAAATCCTTTCTTCTGGTGGCATCCATGATTCCAGCACCTTCTACTTCTCTGTCCCCATCCCTTCACTATAAACGGACATGAATGATCTTTGTGGAAGGAGAAGAAAACATTTTAAAAGTGATTTGTGGGGGCTGGAGAAAAGGCTCGGTGGTAAGAGCACTGGCTACTCTTCCAGAGGATCCAGGTTCGATTCCCAGCACTCACAAGGTAGCTCATAACTGTCTGTAACTCCAGTTCTAGGGAATCCAACACCCTTTCTAGCCTCCATAGGCACATGGTACACAGAAACACCTGTAGGCAAAACACCCCCACACATAAAATTTTAAAAATTGATGTTCTTAAACTGATTTATGGGAGTGTGGGAGAAAATATGCTCAACATACAATACATACCCATATGGAACTGTCCTCATGCGTTACCATGTACAATGAATACATACAAAGAAAACTGAAAAGTAGAACAAAAACTCATCCATGGTGATGATTGCACTATTTTGTAAAACTAGTAAAAATAATTTATTTGTACATTTAAAACGAATAACTCTAGGGCGTATAAACTATATCAATAAAGCTTTCAAAAATACCTGCCTTCATTTTCCTGCCCTCAATCCCCCAGTTAAGCCAACAACATCTCAGTTGCTCCCTGGAATCACTTCTCCAAGTCACCATTCCCCAGTTCTGTGTTCCTTCCCCCACTACGTTCTTTGCCAAAGACAGGCTCTCACCTGCCTGTCAAATTTTTAATTTACACGAAAAGCAAAGTCAGAATTACCTCATCTGGAACAAAATGTAATGTTTCTTTAGTTTCTTGTATATTTTTTAGAGAAGTTTAAACATCTTGGTTTATTACAATTAAGAATAAGAATAGTTAAAGGTTTGATCTTTATAGCAAAGAAAAACTGAGTTTAAAATCCCAGTTCTGTAAGTATAAGGGAAAATGTTTAGAATATAGTTAGTAAAGTGATGGTTGTATTCTTCTTCAACATGCATAGTTGGCTATGTTTCTGGTAGTAGGCATGATTTCTTTTTTGTTGACCAGATCTTAAGTACAATTAGGGAATTGTTGATTACTGCTAAGGTATGCATGCCACTACTGAATCCTTAGGGTTATTGTGCCAAGCTGATCATTGTTGTGATTAATTATACCCACATTTGAGTGTAGTAGTCCTCATCCCTCATCAAGAAAACTCTTTGAAACAGATGGAGACCATTCAAGAAAACCATAAAGAATCAAAATGCAAAATTGGGGAGCCCAATCTTAGTGAAAACACCTATATGACAACTTACATACCTAAGGCTCAGGGATCATGTCTTCTTCATGGAAGACAAATTGAAAGATTGTGAGAGCCAAAGGAGCAGTTTGCTGTGAGCCTCTGTCTCCTAGGAATCTTAGAAGCCACATCCATACAGTCTTACCAATACTATTGCCTAAATGTGACCTGAACAAGAACAACAATAGACATGTCACAGCAGATGGAGAAAGCCTGTGCAGCCTCAACCCTACAGAAAGAACTGCAGGCTACTAAGGAATACTGAGTGGGAAATAGTCTTCCCCAGTAAAGAGCACACCAACCTATTATTCAATGCTAAATGGTCACCCTGAAAGCACATATACGAATAATTTACAGGCTGAGCAGGTGATACTTAAGAATATATATGTACATACATATATGCATATGTGTGTAAAAACAATTAAGAAATAAAAAAGCTGTGGATTTAAAGAGAGTAAGGAGGGCTAGGTGGAGGGGTTTGGAGAGAGGAATGGAAAGGGGCAAATGATGTAATTATAATCT